CTCCCCTAGTTTCTTCCTCCCCCCTCCCCCCTACCCCCCCTCCCCTGTTCTTGACATTTCATCCTGGGGAGAGAACCCTGATTAAATATTAAAAGCAAATCCATGTTTAACCTCTCTCTTGAGGAGTCAAAGCGTTATCCGACACATTACTTCGCATGTCAGCAGAAAGACATTTCATGGTCTCTTCAATAAAGCCATAAAAATAGCTAGGTCACCATGAAACAAAAAAGTTTTTTTTTAATCGCTCCCGCTGGGTCATGGGACCATGCTTCAGAAAATGTCTAAATTGCCCTTGCCCCGATGACCCTTTGACCCTGTGACTCCAATTTCGGCACAGTGATGGCTTTTTCCTACCATGATGCTATTACACGACTATCACGAGCCTAAGGTCGTAGCTGTTTAGATTTGTGCCCCGCAATCTGCATTCCCCCTATATACCTTAGATTAAGGAGGGAATGTCCCCTCTTTACCACTCTTGTCCTTTGACCTTTGACCCCAGCTCGACATCCCAACTCGTTCGGAGATTCCACACCATCCCGAAATTCGTGACCGTCTACGTTCGAGCGGTTAAGGAATTTGCTGCCCCCAAACTGTTGACGGCGATCACACGGACGTACAATCATGCGATTCTACAAGCTGCATCTGACTACGTCAGCATGCAGCTAAAAATAAATGTAGGCCTACAGTCAATAGCATCTGTTTACAATGGCTATAGGTTATAACTCATGGACATCTCTTGCCTATAGCTTACCAGGTATACATTGCACAACACACTTTCATGTATATTTACCCAAACAGCTTGCAAGAAGACATTCCTCTTCCTTGTCGGGCTAATTCCCTCATTAGTTTGCTAAGCAGCAAAGCCTAAAATGCATTGTCTGCATGATGATTTGGTCGGCTGTTTGGTTGATTTTCCACTGTGCCTGAAAACCTCTATGTGTAAGAAAGCACGTCAATAATTATAGTAATTATGTATAAATAACATGCAGATTAATTCGTACTCTTTATTTAATATATAAGCCTGGTGAATATCCCTGAATAATCCTCCACTCTATGCCAAATATGGAATAAAGTACCTTGCTCAATGGGAAAAGCAAATTAGTGGTAAGTGGCACTGGTTCACGAAGGGTCGTTGTCGTACCAAGTACTAACAGAATATTACCCGAGTATGTTTATGGTTGTTTTTAGTATATTTATATTTATATGAGGTATGTTTAGGCGTTAGGTTAGGGTGTAGGAGTTAGGGTATAGGTAGGATAGGTTAGTGATTAGGGGTTATGGGTACACTTCTGATAGTACAAGTCTGTGTACACTTTGTGGATATACATTATATGATACCTCGGGTACATATCTGTAAGTACCTGTTACGACAAAACGACCCCTGGAGCGGCACTGGTATTTAAACCTTACACCTTTTACCATCCAAAAGCCATATGATATAACGCATATATTAACTTGCTGCCTCCTTTCTGAACAGCGTATCCAGAGCATCATCGATCAAGGATTTGCAAATCATGTATCAACGTGGTTTCATACCGTCATTTCTGATCGATGTCAGTTTGTTTTCGTTGTGCGTTGCTGCTGCTGTGACTGCTGCCTTCTGCGGCTCGATATGTAACTTATAAGAACATAACTTAGAATCAATTAATATCCTCGCGTCTCCCCTCCCCTCCCTCCCCCTCCCCCTCCCTCTCTCTCCCCTTCCCCTCCCTCTTCTCTCCTCTCTCTCTTCTCCTCTCTCTCTCTTCTCTCGCTATCTCTCCCTCTCATTTCTCTCTCTCTCTGCCCATCTGATCTCTCTCTCTCTTCGCTCTCTCTCTCTCTCTCTCTCGCTCTCTTTCCCTCTCTCTCACTCTCTCTCGCTCACTCTCTCTCTCTCTCTCTCTCCCTCTCTTTCTCTCTCTATCTCTCTCTCCCTCTCTCTCCCTCTCTCTCGCTCTCTCTCCCTCTCTTTCTCTCTCTATCTCTCTCTCCCTCTCTCTCGCTCTCTCTCCTCTCTCTCCCTCTTTCTCGCTCTCTCTCTCCCACCTCGCTCTCTCTCTCCCTCTCTCCCACCTCGCTCTCTCTCCTCTCTCATTGTTTTTGCGACTTTAGAAGACCAACTGCAAGACTCACTTCACAAGTTTCATAATTAAACTGGACCTGTCCCACAAAGCGCAGCAGCAGTAGCGAGCACAGTCAGCAGCAGAGCAAAAGCAGCCGCAACTGCGACAGTAGCAATGGCAGCAGCCAACAGCCGCACTGCGAGCAGCAGAGGCATCAGGGCATAGGAAGATGTTCCAGTCGCTATATCTTATCACTAACATCATCCTAATCCAAGTATCATATCATCCACCATTACTGGACATCATCTCTATCTTGAACCCGCTGGTAGTGAGCCGGAGGAACGTGTTTCAAGAATAGAGATATGTCAGATTGGACCTATGTCATTTTCGTAAAAGTAGGCAGTAGGCCCTTAAAATCGACAGGGGTTGTCCTGAAGCTTGTATGTCATATTCATTTCCACGAGAAAAACATTATGTCACTTTACAAGAATAACACTGTCAGCAAGAAACTGTAAGAAACTGGCGTTTAAGCGGACTTACTCGCCCGTTTGCGACTAGTTTACTGGTTCAAGGATAGAGACACATGCATGGGGGCTCGAATTGAACCTATCTATGTCCATTAATCGTAGCCCCCCTGTTTACTCACCATTTGCTTACGGCGATAATTTCCGTGATGTTCTGTGCTACGGCCCTGAAATGATGAATGGTATTTGCGCGCAGCGGCATTTACGCACTGTACTAATTGCTTTCCCTAGGTAAATGTACTGGAAATCCGTTGATATTCGTCGCTTTTTCGGAAAGGTGATAAATGAAATAACAAAACAGTCAGCCATTGCTGATTTACTGATTGCCTACTGCCCTCTGCAGCGCCATGTGCGTGATGTATGTGAAGTGGACACAGAGTTGCCGAGAATCAAAACGGCCTTGATTTCTCACCACAAAAATTGCTCGGTGGTGCAACTTGTGTGAAGTGGTGCTGATGACGCGGCAACGCCAAAAAAATTTCCGACCACGACACACCTAACATTGCAAATTATAAGTTTTTAAATTAAATTTACAGAAATAACGAATCAGATTCACTAACTTTGAAATGTAAGGTTATTACTTTAACACTATAATCACCAGAAATGCGAGATTAACTGTTGGTTTTTCAGAATTGTTGAGGTAGCAAACAACAAAATGTATAGCATTACAATTACAAATACATCATACAGCTTTCAAAACATATAAAATGTTTACAATCAAATAGGTCATTTAACAATCAATTTATGCAATTCCAATCTATTCAAGACCTCTGAAATCACTTGAGGGCCCTTACTAACGATTTACAATTTGGCCGCACCACTCTGTTGTTCGGTCCGTGCTGCCAAACTATTCAGAAAACATGCAATCTATTCACTATAGGAACTTGCCAATCTATTCCACACGTAGAGACTATGCAATTATTTATACACTTTCCAGAACCCAGCCATGCCACAGGCACTTGCAGCGTTCAGTCTTTAAACATACTGCCGCCCGCCATTGCGCGCACACTGACACATAAATAATATATATACTAAAGTGGATAATAGAGAAGAGTATGCAAGGGTTTTAACAGCGTTTTGCATAGTTTTAAACTGGTAAATAATCTATCAATATGTGAATAAATATATTCAAACTTTACCTTTATTTCGTCTATGATTCTCCCTTATTCATATGACACCACCAATTTACCTGAAAATCGTTATTGTTCTTCAAAAAGTTAGTGAATACGACACGGTTTCCCACAGTTTTCACGCATGGATACATCTCTCCGACCCAAGTTTGTTATGGGATTAGTGTTCTATTGTCTATGACGGAACTTTGGGGGCCGTATGGGATATTAGGCATCGAATTGTATTCAGCGTGCAGCGTTTCCAGCGTGCAGCGTTGCCAGCGTGCTAAAAATAAATGTGCACGGCGAGCTGGCTAGCAGCTGATCTTAGGCATCGAATTGTATTCAGCGTGCAGCGTTTCCAGCGTGCAGCGTTGCCAGCGTGCTAAAAATAAATGTGCACGGCGAGCTGGCTAGCAGCTGATCTTAGCTGTGTTGCCATGGGTTTGTTTAGACGCAAAAACACGCCTCAAAGGGACACTCGGACATGATAAGAAGGAGTGTTATTTTTACATATTGCATATTACTGTGTGCATAAAGTTAACTGCAATATTGACATGGATCATCCGAATCCCGACCACACATATTATACCAGTTTTACAACACAGGTATTGCCATCGTGTTCCAATATTACTGATGATAGCAGCTGGTAAACACACCTAAATCTATCAAAACATTGTCAACATCACCACGACGATCACCTAGACTGGCAGTAAAAAGGAAATTAATAGCAACGTGAACGAAAAAACCACTTCAAAGAAGTTAAAACTATCACCGCAGGATTTAGAGTCAGTTCCAAAACCTGAATGCTCACTGCAAATAACCACTATCGAAACAGAGTCAACATCACAACGACGATCACCTAGACTGGCAGTAAAAAGGAAAGTAATAGCTGGTTATTCGAAAACTGCTGCAAAGAAGTTAAAACTATCACCACTAGATTTAGAGTCAGTTCCAAAACCTGAACTGTTCACTGCAATAACCACTTCAATTGATAACTATTGCAAACAGGAAAATGTTGCACTCACCACATACGACTGCTTCGAGAAAGAGAGTGGGTGGTGGCTCATGGTAGCACCAAAAGCCATGGACCTTCCCGAACGGAGAGGTGGGCCGATGAACTCTATCGTCTTAGCGATAAGTGGTAACGGGAACATGCAACTTCGTGTTTTGCAGACAAAGAGCGAAGAAAGTGAGTGTGTAAAAAACAACAAGTTTTGTGTTAAGTCGTTAAGAGCCATGCTATCCAAACTGTGGTTTCATCCGTGTCTCGGACTAGATATTACAACTTTCAAACAGCTCTCGACTAATATTCGATACAAACTCACGTTGTGCCAACAGGTGGACTTTCCTTACACCCATTTCATTTCAAAGAAATGTCAAAAAATCATGAAACCATATGCCCGCAAACACCAAATGTGCCGCAAGTGTGCTGTTATGATGAAAAGGTTGCGGCATGCTGACAAAGTAGCTGCAAACGTGTCAACATCTGCTAAGAAAAGGCGACGCCACTACACTTCGAGGTGCCCACTGAGTGCTCTCTCTCCAGCCAGCAAAAAAACCCGAAAAAGCTTGACCAGGGTACGGCAAAGCAAAACACTAAAAAAACAGAAGAATTTGGAGCACAAGTTACAGCAGCACTCAATCTTGCTTAACGATGAGCAGAGCATGGAGCTTGGCACCGCAATGAACTTTCTATCAAAAACAAAACAAGGTCAAAAGGCGTTCAAGCAATTCGTCTGCGACACACAGAAAGAAACTAACCAGGACGTGGTAACTGCAATGCAGGAAGCTTGGAAAGCAGATCAAGAAAGAAATCGTAAGTATCATCAAAAGTTATGTAAGCATTAACTCAACAACAAATTGTCAATTACTCATTTGTAAAACAAAACAAAATTTGGCACCAGTATTTTAATGTGCTGACATAGGAAATAAATTAAACAAAATTGTAAAAATATCGTTCAAGGAATTTATTTCATATTGATTTCATGGTATTTTAGTTTACTATAAAACAGTTATTAACTCAGTAAAAATTTGCAAGCACTTGAAATAATAAAATAATAAAATGCTGTCATAGTTGAAGTAAAATGAACTGAATGCTCAACATTTTCTCACAACATTTTAATAACAATTATACATTTTTATTTGAAACATAACGTTTTCTATTCCATTTTAACGTTAACATTTTTTACGTTAATATTTTTATCTGAGGCAAACGTTCTTAGCTACACTTCTAAAGTTACTAAATTAAGTTATGTCAGTTTTACAATACGTATTGCTGAAATACTGATACAACCAACATGTCAGACATCACGAGTACAAATTCAATCGTTGGTCTGTAAACAAATTCATTCCACTAGTGACAGTGACTTTACATAAGTAATGTGAATAAGGTATAATTCTCTTGAATTTATTTGCACCTTACAAGAACTGTGCAAATAATGTTATAATTTTAACTGATTGTTTAAATGATAAGTTATATTATTACAACTCTTTTCAGGTACTGGCAGTAAACGTAATGTCTGGACAGCAGTTTCATACAGAATAGGTGAGCCACTACTTTTATAATTTTTTACTGGCTGTTCAACGTAATATGTAGCCCTAGTTTTACAAGCATGCTAGGAAAAATAGTGCAAATGTTTAGAGGCAGGACAAAACTCTATTTACATGTTCACTAATGCATTATTTAGAGTTAGAAGCAATGCTGTACAGGTCATCGCGCAATGTAAACCCACCACGTGTTAGGGGCAAACCCTGCTGCTCAGCTTCCCGCAGCTGATGTGCTGTAATGAACTCATTCACACGTGCATGAACTATCTTTTGCTGCCACAAAGTGTGCATCTTCTGCAGTGTTGGTATCCTCGGTTTCAGTCCTTTCATCCGACAGGCATACTTCGCCCCTTTAATGAAGAGATCCTGTATTGCAGACAAGCTGGACACTTGTTGAACAGTCATCTGTAAAAAAATATAGCACTCATTAAAAGTGTGAATGCTTTGTTTTTGCAGCTCTTGCAATATTCTCTAGGAGTCCAACTACCTACAAAGCATTGACAAAACTGCAAATCCTACAACTGCCATCTATCAGAAGCATCCAAAGGAAAATGCAGGACGCTTTTGAGCATAGTGGTCCGTCCCAATCAAATTTGAAAGCCGCGGCAATTGTGTATCGTCAAATGCAAAACGAAGCTGTGCTCCAGGAGAAACCCAAGCCTATGGGAGAAGGTGTACTGATATTGGATGAAGTGAAGGTTATAGGAAAAATCATGTGGAACAGCAAAAATCACGAGATGTATGGATTGGCACTAACGCATAACGAACTAACAAGTCTTCATGACATCTACCAGACCTTGGACCCTCAACAAAAAGTATCACCAGCACAAAACATCTTACAATTCCTGTGGCGTGACCTAACTTCTTCGTTTGATGTCATCGGACCCTACTATGCTACTGAGTCTGCTTTAGACACCAGGTTGACAACAGCAACTCTTCTCGAAACAATGAGAATTTTCGAAGCACACGGGTTTCATGTTTCCGGTGTTGTCTTTGACGGTGCCAGCACAAACCTCGCCACTGTCAAGTTACTAACTACGGGCAAGAGAGGACCCTACCAACAGCCATATGACATTCAGCCTTGGTTCACTAATCCATACAGACCGCAAGTGAAAGTGCATTTCGTGATATGCCCTTCTCACCAGGTGTGAAATAATTAATGACTTTAACAAATACACAGCATTTTTACTATTATGATTATTGTGTGGTATAACATTATACATTACAGAAATCCTTTAGCATGAAATGGTAACAAGAATTATCTTCTATGTCCTCACAGCTTATTCGGGATTTTGCTTTAGTGTCATGCAGTATAAAATGATATCTTTCGGCATTCAGCTCAAGAACATGGTGAATGCACTACATAACTCACGACCACAAGGCACGAGAGATTTTATGTCAGTCCAACCCGCTGAACATGGCACCCGATTGGTACCGTTTGGATGGCAAGCAGTGCAGGATATGTACGCACGGGAAGTAGAGCGACGAGACAAGAACTGTCTTCGAATGGTACCAGGCCTACAACAAAGTTTTATCGTGAGAGACGCATGGACCAAACTGAACGTCAAACCAGCTAAAATTATGCAGGTACTAGTACTAGTATATAAAGTAAGTTTCGCAGTACAGTAAAACTCGCATGTCGTCCTTGTATCATTGGCATGTAGTCATTGTCTAACTCGTCAATTCGCATAAGTCGTCATGAAAGTCCCGATTTTCTCTCATAGCAAATCCATTGGACTAGCCCTGCCTAAGTCGTCATTTATAAGCCGGCATTATGTGCAAGTCGTCGCCCTCAGACAGGTCCTATGTAAGGCCAAAACAAAATATAGGTGTGGTTACCGTTTCCCGACCGACCCTAAACATGTTATTGTCAATTTCCTTTAAAGTAAGAAAAAAATTTAAAAAATTTAAAAAAACATTAAAAAATATGAATTGGACAGTTCCTGCTTCAATAGGCACAACGCACATCTTTCGGACATGGTTCGTAAATAAAATGTTTCCATAAAATAAAATGTTTTCCCTACCTACCCTATTTTCTTCTGCATGGAATGCTAACCACATCTATATTTTGTTTTGGCCTAATGCAAACAATAGTAATTTCCCATCTGTAAGTCGTTACCAGAAATGCCAATGGCGCACACGTTGTGTACGGGTCGAACAGATGAGCGGCTGTAGATCGCGCAACTGAGTTTACATGAGTTGTTGCTGTGTGCACTGATTGTTTTATTCGCATTGTTCGCTTGGACACATTGGTTTTATTTTCAGCGCGCACATCCCCCAGATTCCCAATCTTAAAAACAACTTCTACGCAAACTTGAAACTTGAGCTTTAACACTTTTATCTCTAAAATGAAACATTCTGTAAAAGTCCATGTGCATTTTCAGCAAGAACATGTGCTAGCTGAGCTTAAAACGTACGCTCAACCGGAACACACTGTACAGCAACCCATTGATGCAATCAATGTTCTGGCAACAGTCAAGTACCTGACAGCCTGCAATTTGTTGTTTGAGAGGGGTTTGCTATCTCATGCAAAGGTTACTTCACAGAGGTGCGAGGTTCTAGATAACATCGTGACTGGATACGCTTACTTCGAGAACTGGCACAGAACCCTAAAAGGTGCATTTACTTTCAAAATTGTTGCAGAGAAGGATTTATAAGTTTAGGTAGCCTATGAGTTAAATGCACATTCAATTCTTAGTTGTAATATGATATTAACACAATTTTAAAAAAATTATTGAAATTAATCAGTAAACGGGTACTGCACATTTTTTTTTCGAACCCTGAGTATATCAGGGTTCTCCAAGAGCACTTATAGCCTGGCGGCCCGCCAGCAAATTTGCGATTCCCAAACCGTATAGCTATGGAAGAAAGATTGAGCAACGTGATTGGCTAGAAAATGTTTAGGACACGTTTTCACATTTTATTTCTTATTATTTTTGGCTAATTTTGTTTTATTTTAGAATTAGGTTAATTAGGTTAGGGTTAGGGTTATGATTCGGGTTAGGGTTATGGTTAAGGTTAGGGTTAGGGTTAACTGATTTTTATATCTACGAATTTAGTATCTACCTCAGTGGGTCAACGCCAGAGCGTTCGCTTCGTGATCGTAAGGTACCTCGTTCGAACGCCATATCGTTTTTATTTTCCTCTGCGTTATGTATTTCTTTGTATTTTATTTGTTTCTGCATTTATTTGTTCTGTAACATTTGTTTATGTTCTGCTTAATATTTTCTTTATATTGCTTAAATTTATAGTATTAGCTGTTGCTAATAATGCGTGTCCTAAGTTTCTAGCAATCACGTCTGCTCATTTTCATCCAAAGCTATACGGTTGGAATCGGCAATTCGGCCGCCCGCCAGGCTATTCGTCGCAGCCCGGCCATCCTAAATGCACCCGCACTTCAATATCATAGTCGCCATGCTAATTTAGCTAGAAATGCTAAAAGTGAAAATAGGACCGTACAAGCGCCCCGCCATGCTATAATGAAAGCTTGGAGAACCTGTCACTTATACGTTGGAGACATTTCTTGACGTCTTATTTTATTCTTTAATTTGTACAGTCTTTACTCGATCCTAACCTCAAGTAGGAATAGCGCTGTTTGGCCTGGCAAAACTTGGGACCTGCTACGATTGCAGTTTTGCTTTAAGCCTTGTGTCATTGATTTCTTGGGAGACATGTCCGACCTTATTTCTATTTCTCCATAGAGAGTCAATGGCAGTGCGTCGAGAGTCTGTGTTTCTAGACTGAGAGGTCGTACGCAGGACGAAATTGAGTGGTATTAGCTACCAAACACTCCCGTAAAGGTTGTATGTTCATGATAACCTAAGCATCCCTGCATTGCTGGGTTACAGGGATGTGCCACTTTATTCATGCATGCAATGATTAAGATTGGGGGCACTGCGTCAACTTCAACCCACCCGCCAACTCGCTCGCATTCTGGCAACGTTTACCGAGTGGGTGCGGTCAGCTCGAGAATGATCACCAGAAAGATGGCGTCAGCTCGACTTGACGCGCCAATGTGGATTATTTTTTGTCTTACACGCCGCAACGTTCGAAACTTGTTTGGTGTAAGTTGTAAATTTGTGATTATGTTGCACGTGGTATATATAAATATTATATTAGCTTATATATATATACAACATGTTTAAATAACATTGTATTTAAGTCTCGCAGTACATTTGGTAGGTACGTGATGTGTACAGCCACTGATAGCCTGCCAGAGAGCAATATGAATACGTTTAATTTAATAACATTATCTTTTACGTTTTCCAAAGGCTTGCGCTGGATTTTGTGTTTGGTTTAACATTGCGGCATGGTGATACTGCATGATAAACGATAACCAACATTGAACCTGGTTTAATTTCCCCGGATGTCGTGCGTCCTGTGGGTGTGGTGCGTGCATGCGTGCCCTTATTCATGAGTTGCTGGCGAGTCGGAGCTGACCGCTCGACTCGGAGCGTCATCTCTACCTACGAGTCGAGTTGACTACGGACCATTAAGATGATGTATATAAGTTTATGTATGTTTAGCTTTAAAGGTAATTTTTTATACCTTGATGATTTGCCGTCCGTATGTTGCCAACCCTCTGTCTGAAGCATGCAGACGAATTGTCCTGTCTAACTGCCTCAGCCAAGGCAAGAAGACTCGCTGTGGAACAAGCAGACCACCTCTGTCTCTAAAGGCAAGTCCAGCTGGAATTTGTGTTGCCTCTTTCTGTATTTTAGTCCTAATACCTAGAGAAAGATAAATACCATAGTTACAGATATATATTTTTTCTCACTAATAACACATTATTTTGTCATGTATGTTTTAAAATACAAGACAAACCGTGCAATATGATGTGTGTTAAGTTTTGCAAGTGAACTTCTGTATTCAAAGTGTATTCATACTTCCAAACATTTAATGTCATATATGTTTAACATGACGCGTCAACATCCAATAAAATATAAAGCAGCCAATAGAAAGGACGAGTACTCCATAGTTACGTTCACGTAGGATGTGCAATGTTCAAATTTACAAATTAGGGACCAAGGATATAAGAGCTGTCGACATTTGCTGTAATAATTTGCGGTCAGCGCTTATATCCATGTACCCAAATTACGTGTACATATTCAAACTGTCCAACAAATATTTGTGAATTAGACTGCGTAAAATCTTCTTTACTATATAAATGTCATCACTTGTTATAAAGAACTAGCTAAGCTAACATGATGTCATAATGGATTTAAATTCTAGAAAAAAAAGTATTGTATCAGTCTTGTTTTCATAAAGAAACCTTTTAATTTTTATAAAACCTGGCAAACATATTTACTACAATAAACAGTTTGCTGACAGCTATTATATAAGTATAGAAAATTGATGGTATGCATTTCGTTTCGTTTTGGGGTACTTACATGCAAACAAGACGTCTAGTAGAGCCTTGTTACGTGATCGCTGATGTAGAGGTGTTTTGAATAAGTTCTTCTTTATGCTGTGAATGCAACCACCTGCTACTGAAAACAGCCCATATTCAGTCTCCTCGTGAAATTGTCTAATTTCTTGCACACGCTTCTCTGTGTTTGCATTGTTATTTTTAACCTTTTCACTCAGGATATTTAATGTTGCAGCTGCAATCGAATGTATTATAGCTGACAAATCTTCATGCTGATGCTTTGTGATTGGTTGCAAAAATATGCATTTAGTTAATTCACTCCATACACAAGGGAGGTTTTCTTGGTCCATATCAATCTGTATAACAGGCCCCAGCTTTACATCGCAAGTGGTAGAAATTGTGCCAGCGACTACACCTAGCCATGCGGTCTGGAAAGTTACGTTTGCGGTCAGCAAATTTCTCACTCTTGAAGCAATCACGGTATAAAGTAACAAAAATGTTTATAAACAAGGAAAGCAAGCGCGTGAGACCAGCCTTGTCCAAATGATCGAGAATCAAAACACGATCACCATATTCGAGGTGCAGCTCTTCTCGGACGTTGGTTTTAACCTTCTCTGCCAAGTTTTCGACGTTTGTGTCTTGGACAACAGCACATACAGCATTCACTTCTCAGATTGTTAAGGCTATGATTATTTTCGGACTTTTCCGTCGTTTGTCTTTTCTCATAAATTTCTCTAGCTTTCGTGGTGCCATGTTTTAACTTTAGTGTTATTATCTCGCGTTCTTCGCTTCTCGCGAGAAGCGAAACAAGTGCTAATATTTCCTTGCGGCCCCCAAAGTTCCGTCGTAGACAATAGAACACTAATCCCATAAGAAAGTTTAGTTTAAAACATGCGTCCATGCGTGAAAACTGTGGGAAACCGTGTCGTATTCAAATAACTTTTTTGAAGAACACATACGATTTTCAGGTAAATTGGTGGTGTCATATGATTAAGGGAGAATCATAGACGAAAACAAGGTAAAGTTTGAATATATTTATTCACATATTGGTAGAGTATTTACAAGTTGAAAACTATGAAAACGCTGTTAAAACCGTGTCATACTCTTCTCTATTATGCACTCTTGATATTATATAAAGTATATATATATTAGTCAGAAATAGCTCAATGAGCTAGGTCAAACAGAGGTCAGGGGGACATAGACCTTATCTGCGTAAGTATAGGAGTGTTTCACGTGACGTCATAGATTAGGTCACGTGTATTTGTTATGTTTCATGGTTGGCAGAAGCGAAGCGTGCTGCTTGACATTTACAGCTGAATGACCACATCAGGGCTGCCAACATTGGGTGATAGGTGAGAGTGAGATGCAAGGGAGCGAAGCGACCGAGGGGGGAGGGGGTTTTCCCCCTCCTACGGTAGAGAGATTTTACATTTTATAACTTCAATTTGTGCAATTTGGTGCATACTAAAGTGACTGTTTTCAGATATTGTAAGATTTTTTTTGCTGTGCGTGAGATATTTCAGCGTTTTATTCATGAAGAGATTCATGCGTGAGATATCTCAGCATTTTTTTGCTGTGCGTGAGATATTGTAAGATCAGCGTGAGAGCGTGAGATTTGGTCAAAATGCGTGAGTCTCATGGTCAATGCGTGAGAGTTGGCAGCCCTGCGAATATCGTGACCGTACGTCGAGCGGTTAAGATTTGTGTCCAACTGTTGACGGACGGACGGACGGACGATCATGCGATTCTACAAGCTGCACCTGACTACGTCAGATGAGCTAAAAACAACGAATATAGCAGAGAAACAAAGAAAAATATATATTAGAAAAACAAAGAATACAGTGAAGTAACTTATAGAGAAACTAAAAATACAGAATTATTTTAAAAGGATGTTTAATCTGTTGTGTGTTTTAACGAGTGAGACCGCACAACCGCTTCTTAATTTTTAAAGCACAGTTACTAACTAATTGTAAAGTCAGGCGACAGAGCAGCGCATGTGTGTGTGCATGTGTGCGTGCTTGTGTCTGTGTGTGTATGTGCGTGCGTGCGTCTCTGTGTGTGTGCGTGCGTGCGTGCGTGTGTGTCTGTGTGTGTGCGTGTGCGTGCATGCGTGCGTGCATGTTTATAAGCATCACGCGATAAAGCGACACTAAAACACATGTTGACAAACGCCATCATATTTGCGATGCCATGTTGGTACAGTTGCTATACAAATGCATTCTAATGTTTGTGTTACAAAGGCAAGCAAATGGAGCAAATGGAGGTGGCGCTAATGGCGATAATGGCTTT